AGCCGTTCAGTGAGCCTGAAACCGCGGGCATCAATGATTGGTTCCAAACCAAGCGTAATGAAATCCAAGGGTTTATTGACATTCACTCGTACGGGGGGCTCATCTTGTCCCCGTACGGAGACATTAACCAGCCAATCGGCGACGGGTTTGACGAGAAGTTCGACGTCCTCGCCCATGGATTGAAAACCGTTATGGGGGCGTACACCCCTAAGCCGTTGGCCCAAACAGCTGGCATTTCGTATGGATTGTTTCTAGATTACGCGTTCCTTGAGTTTCAAAAGCCTGCCGTGTCGTTTGAAATTATCGGCGATGATTTTGTCGTGGACGTGACGACCATCAAGACACGTGGCCTCGAAGTGTACAAAGGTATCAACCAATTCGCCAAGGAAGTCACCGTGTTCAATGATGGAGACGTCACGCCCACCAAGCCGTCTTGTGGTGATTAGGAGCTAAGAGCTCAACTTAAAAGTCAAATTGTTTTATGTCCATGGTACGATATGCGGTTCGTGGTTTTCTAGGGAAAAGATTATTTTTGAGCAAACGATGGATTATTTCCGAGCGAGGCTTTGGGATGGAATATTTTAGAGCGTACTTAAACTGTTGGAGTCTTTTCGAGCGTACTTAGTTGGGACATATTGTTGTGAGCATTACGGATATTGACATCCTTCAGTTACGACTTATTAGTACAGTACTGTACATCCACTGGGACAAACCGGGTTGATAGTGAAGTTAAGATATTCCCAAGCGGGATAAACTGGGACAATGGATGCATTTGGATGCCAGTGGATGCAATTTTGGATACACAACAAACACACAGTCAACAAGGGGTTTGCAAATTGGCAATCGTTTACTATCACAAACGATTGTTAATGCGCAAACCCCGGGCATAGCATTACACGTACGTTATTCGGGGTGGAGACGTAGTCTCTGTGGGGGAAAGGGTACGGTTCTGGTGAAAGAATGCTGGGGCTGGTGACGTCAACAATTATTGTTTGGGATGCACAGGGATGCAGTGGGATAAATTCGATGATTGGGTATATCCCATGGAAAATATGATACTAGTACTACTGGTATTAAGAGCATCTCCACCGCATCCCCAAATATTTTTGTCCCCATCCCTAAATTAGAGCCAGTTCACTGTTTCTGGGATGTCTGCATAAAATCTTCCGTTTTGGTATAACGTTAGCTGTCCCCTTCTAAGAGCTCTCCACCGCATCCCCAAATATGTCCCAACTCGACATTGGGATATCAGATGGGACAAAATCTTCCCCACTGGATGTCCCGAAAACCAAATTTGGGGTTGGGACATCGACTTTGTCCCGAAAATTGCACACTATTGGGATATCCCAACTAATTGTCCCAACAAATATACTACGATTTGTATGGAAAAAGCAAGTCCATTCGTGCAATTTCCCAATGTCGGCTTTGGACACAGGGACTGGCGGTCGGTATCGTGAACCACGTCTCGCCGTCGTCGGACACACGGACGACGTGGCTGAACGAGAGTCACCAGCATTCATTGATACAGCGATATCTGGCCGATATCGCTGCGGCAGTGATTGCCGGTGACTCTCGTTCCGACGCTGCGGCGGACGCGGGTTTGTCCAAGAGGAGCAACCGCACAACGCTATGTGGTCGCGCATACCGGACAAGAGTCCGCAGCAACAATTACACTCTATAACTTGGTGCGTGGGATTACAGAATCGCTGCGGTCAAGTAGGCTTGCAAGTACCGGCATCACCGACCTTGGGAAACTCGGTGGAGATGCACTTATTAGAGCATCACCACCGCATCCCCAAATATTTCCCCCATAACCCAGAACTTCGATTGTACCGTTACTTCAGGTTGCAGTACGGATATTTTGGGGACTTATTCGGGTGATTCTGTCCCCATTAGCTTCGGATATCCGAATAATTTGCACTTTTTGGGATGTCCGAGGCAAATGGGGACAAAAGTCCCCAAATTCTGCGTAGTATCCGTAACTACGACGTACAACTGTAGTAATGATTTTTAGGGATGGCGAGTTGGGATGCGGTGGAGATGCTACCATTAAAGGCGCCACTGTACTCAGCATTTGCACTTTAGTTGCCATATGATTTTATTTGCTCGTAAATTCACCAATGACTAACACATGTTCTTGTGCCTATTATGTGCGCTCGGAAAGTGTCTCTCTCGACTATTTTGCTCGAAATCGATCCGTCCTTAGGCATGCTCGGAAATGCTCCATCGTTTGCTCGAAAAAAATGCGCACCCGGTTTTCAACTCCCAGCGCAGTGTAGCTCGGAGACGTACCTCGCCAAAATACTCTGTAACGCTTACTCCTAGGCAACCTAAAATGC